TGTGAGAGGATACAGTTATAGTCTTTTGAGATTCCAATACTTGCTAATAGATTTTGTAAGTAGGAACCTGTCATTCTCTTGCTGCTGTGCATCTGTACTGCCAAACCCCATTCCTACTGTGACTTCCCCCACCTCATCTTCATCACACTATTTGGTACTATTCTCATTACCATGTAAGCCTCTCATCACAGCTTTTTTGTTATGAAGCATGGAGAAAGTAAAATCATAGAGTTCAGGGTGTGGGAGGCATTCTCAAGGCCTGAGACACCTCACTAAACACAAAAAGAGACCCAGGGACTTACCAAAGAATGTCTGTCTCCTGGAAGCTGTCTGGATAAAGCGGGTTGGTGGCAGGCCCAGGACCTTCAATAAGTACAATGAGGTTGGTTCACTCTTTATGGAGTCATAAGTCAAAGAATATTAAGAGCTAGGTGGGCTTTTGGCCAAACTCTATCTGTCACAGTGAAGGACCCAGGGACCCATGTCAGTGGCCAGCAGACCCAAAGCTTATGTCTTTCAACTCCTGATCTAAGACTGTTTCTGTACCCTAAGATTGAATGGTTGCCATTTTATTCTATTTTATTTATTTTGAAACAAGGTCTTGCTATGTAGTTCAGGCTGGCCTACAACCCATTATGGAGCCCAGGCCAGCCTTGAACTCATGGCAATTCTCCTGCCTCAGCCTCCCGAGTGCTGGGACTACAGGCATGTACCACTACATCAGGCAGCCATGTTATTCTTTTTTTTTTTTTTTTTTTGGTCTTTTTGAGACAGGGTCTCACTATGCAGTTCAGGCTGGCCTTGAGCTCACCTTGTAGCCTAGGCTGGCCTTGAACTCACAATGATCCTCCTGCCTCAGCCTCCTGAGTGCTGGGATTACAGGCGTGCACCACCACGTCTGGGCCATGTTATTCTAAACCAGCATAAATACTCTTGACAGCAGCCAGATCTTAGTGTCAGAACAGGCTGATCACATTGAATTAAGAATGTCACAACTCAGAGCACTAAGAAAGGAGGGGAGGGTAAAGAGACAAAAGTCACCAACAGGCACCAGACCCTTATAAAACAAATTTATTCTTGGAAAGAAAAATGCAGAACTTCCTGATCACTTTTCTGTACTGCATTTTGCAGGGATTCACAGAGATTGAGAAATTACTGGTGTCACCCTCAGCCCTTGAGCCCAGCCATAATCCACACATGACCCTGCCCTTGCTCCCCAGCACCACTGAACTCAAGAGGAAGCCAAGTCGGTCTTAGGACCGCAGGAAAATCAACACACGCCCCATTCTCCTTGGTATCAGAAGCAGGAATAGTTCAGGGATACGTCACAAAATCATCCATTGTCAGCCTTAGAAGCCATCTATTCTGACCCCTTCATTTTCCAGTCCAGAGTAGGGAAGTGATGTGCAGAAAGACAGAACTGAAGCTCCAGATTACCCACTCCAGGCTAGTGTTCATTTCACCATAACTACCACTTCTAGCCGTTTTTAACTAAATGGTTGTAATATTCTATCATATTCTATGAAAGAATTGTCTATATATATTTAATAATTCTCAAGGTTATGTATTACTCTATCTTTAAGACAATCTAGAAAAAATTTAACATATACACATAAATAGATTAGACAGATAGAGATTTTTATTCATAATCAAAATATCTTTGTTTTACTAAGATGTTTGCTAGGACTTGTTTAGAAAATCCTAAAATGTGAAATTTCCAATTTTTTAAAAAGATTATTCCCCTTTCTGTTTAATTCAGCTCCATAACAAGACTTTTAATTACAGTAATAATCTATAAGGTTAATAATCATGTGGTGAGCCTTGGTAAAGCCTTTTTATTGTAAGCTAGTGTAATGGTGGATACTTTGTGTCAACTTGAGAAGTTTAGAAGTTTAACTAAGTGACTCAGCAGGGAGTCTGCATTTTGCTCCTGTCCAGAGTCTTTACCTGAGACCAAGATTAAGAGCAGTGGACTAATTAATCTGGCAAAAGAAATTTCAAGGCAGTCTAATGTTGAGGTCATTTCTCAGCTATTGTGAGGGCTTTTAGTCAGATCTATGTTGAGAATAAGACCAAAGAGCCCAGCAGGATGATTTAAAATGTGAGTTTGGCCAGAAGGGAAGCTCCAGTAAAGCTGTAGACTGCAAACACAGAGCTCAGGAGATCTTGATTGCTGAGAAGGAACAGGACAATAGAAAAGGTGGCCTGAGGGCATCACAAGAAGTGGCGAGTCTCTACCCTTTGTAGCCTCAAAACTGCAAAAATGAAAAACTTTGCTTTGATGAGAAAGCCACAGAGCACCATGGTCCAGACTGGTGGCAGCACAGAAAATTTGTTCCTCAAAATTGGATCCAGAGTGCCCAGTGATCCAAGGACTTGACCCCTACAGCCAAGAGAAAGGAAAGCCTGCCTACTACTCCAGCTGGCAGCACACTTTGGCATCATCCATGTGGTGCTGGTTTTAGGTGCATGCAGAATGCAAAAGTTATGGGGTTAAAAAGGCTTCCACCTCGATTTCAGAAGGCCCAGGAGGCCAGGCAGTGTGCCCCTAAGAGGGCAGTGTGTGAAGTTGTCAGTGAGAAGTGAAAAGTGCAGTGGAGACCCCAGAAGTTTAGAAAAGCTAGGAACATGGATTGTCTAAGGAAAGCTGCAAGGAGAGAGCAAAGTGGGCCTAAGAGAAAAGTTGTGAGAGCTATAACCACCAGAAGTGCCATAAGGGTGGAGCTGTCCAAGCCTTTGCCACAGATTTCCTCAGATACTGGACATGGAACTACAGGACTTCATGTTTGCCCTGCTGGATTTTGGGCTTGCTTTGGTCCCGTGCCTTTGTATTCTCCTGTTTGTAACTTTCGGAATGAAAATGTTTATTTTGTGCCACTGAATGGAAGTGTCTAACTTTTCATTTGTACAGGGGCTTGCAAGTAAGAGTTTGCCTTACATCTCAGAGCGGACTTGGGACTTGGACTTTTCAGCAATGCTGAAACTGTTAGGACTTTGGCAAGTCTTGCAGATGGACTAAATGCTTTTGCATAAAGGGATGTGCATGAGTCTTTGCGGGGCCAAGGGCAAAATGTTATGATTCTAATGTAATGTAATGCCGATAGGCTTAGTACTGGTTTTTAAGCATAGTTAAACCTGTGTTATAGTGTTCAAGTTGTGAAATGTTAAGAATAAGCATGTCTTTGTATCTGGAAACCAGTTTAAAGAAATGTGTCTGGTTGCCAAGTTGACAAGGGGTAGATTGGAATGGTTGGTACATTGTATCAACTTGAGAACTTTAGAAGTTTAACTAAATGACCCAGCAGGGCCAGGGTCCTCACTTTGTAAACATCCTCATCCTGTGCAAGAGGAGGGCATGGAGATTGTGTGAGTGCTACACACCCCCTGAGATTAGGGGTAACCTGCTTACAATATAAGGGAGGAAAAGAGGTTTGCTCTCTCCCTATTTTTCTCTTGCTGCTTTTGCTGTCTTCTGCCTCCTTGACCTGTTGCCCCTGTGCCATACCACCCTGTCTTGGAGCCAGCTGATTATGAACTGAAACATCCACAAACTGTGAGCTAAATAAACCTTTTCTTCCTAAATTTTGGGTGTCAGGTAGTTTGTCTCAGGAATGAGAGAAAAGAAACCAATACAGATAGTCTTCCCAGAAGGTTAAAACAGTGAAAAGCCAATGACTTAACACCATGGAATATTTACCTCAGATAACTTCCAATTATTTGTTTTCAACAATAGTGTGATCAAATTGTCAGAGGATAGGTTGATAAAAATAATTTCTGGTGACAGATCACCCATTTGATTATTACTTAGATCTCAAATGGAGTCACAGAAGGAGGCCACAGAGCAACAATAGACTTCCCAACTCTTCTGGATTTGTGTCTGTGGGTAGGTCAGTGTGTGGGGAAAGCACTGATTCTGAGCTTGTTCTTTCTAGCAAGAATAATTAGTGACAGGTACAGAAGTCAAGTGGGAAAAGAAAAAACTCCACTCTTCATTTTTTTAAAGAAGTGTGTACTCAATAAAAACTCACATCATGTGGTTAATAATTATTTATCTTTGTGCACTAGCTAGCTCTACTTAATGATCTCATCAGGACAAAAATTTGTACCTATGCAGCTTATGGTAATAGGAAAAATTTAAATTTATAGTAATTGACAAATAATTTCAAAATAAAACTATATTAAGTTAGAATATAATTCTGTGGAGGAAGTATAATAGAAAAATTTCATTCAAGGAGCAGAAAGAACAAAGTAAAAGGTACAATAGTTAAAGAACTTGTTCACATAGATTTTAGATATAGATTTTAGTAGGCATCAAGTCACTCGTTTTTTTAATTCTTTGGGATCTATAGGACTGGAATAACAATTTTGTTTTAAAATGTTACTATTAACAATAAGGGAAAATCTCATCCTTTAGAACTATTTAAATTTATGATAAAATGTTAGTTCTCAACTCAACAATGTATAAATGGTATATAATTTCAGAAATACTTTTAGGGAACATACAACTAAAGGGACAAAAAGCATGTAGGCTACTGCCTTGCTGAGTTTGGCCCAAGCTAATGTCTGAGGGCCAAAGCCATCATGGAACAGCTCCCCAAGCCAGCGACAGTGTTCTGCCTACCTCCATGATACAAGCCAGCTGCTCCACCTCATTCTCCCCAGCAAAGAGAGGGTAGCCCATGTACAGCTCTGCCATGATGCAGCCCAGGCTCCACATGTCGATGGCCATGTTGTAGGGGTGGCCCAGGATCACCTCGGGGGATCGATAGAATCGGCTTTGGATGTAGGTGTACACTGTTGGGGCAAAGAGCAAGGCCTGATGTGAGAAAGACCTCCTCCTCTCTAGGTCACTCTGGAGATAACTTGGCAGCTAAGGGTGGCTCACAATTTACTTCTCCACTTCTACCTTCTTAGCACACAGCTTTGCAGAGAAAGCCAAATGCTGACAGCCAGCCAGCACTGAGCCACGTTACCCGACAATTTCATCAAACCCTCACACATCCTGACATAACGGGGATGTCGCTATCCTCACCTTATTTGTCAAGAACTTTAAGGTAGGTATGGTTACTGGGAGATAAATTTAAATCAACCAAGTTTTTTTTTTCTAAACAAACCATAAAAGTAATATAAATTCAGTTTTCAAAACTGTTAGATTAGCTTCAGGTAGACAGCTTCTGAAACTACTGCAATTTAGCAAAGAGCAGATTTGGATAGAAGACATGCAAAATACACAATTTAAATTTAATGTGTATTCAATACATTATGTGCGTTTATTGGATAACAAGAAGGATACAAACAAACCCTCCACAAAATCTCAGCAGATGATGATATATAGAGGATAATATCATAGGAAGCCTAGATTTTATGGAGAAGGAGCCTGAAGCCTAAGAAATATGATATTTTGGTTATTTCTACATAACTTTGATTTGTGATTACCTGAGGAGAGGGGTCCTGTAATCATTTTTCTGTTGTTTTAATTGGTTACATGAAGGATATAATTATTTTATAACTCAAAACAAAATAAAGATTTGCTATGAAGACATATACATTCCGCTTGTTCCAAAAATACCAAAGAGGTACTTTGCGAAGTACAGAGTGTTTTAAAATAGGAATTTATGTGTACCAACATAGTGCCTAACATGTAGCATGCATTATTTATCCCAAGGAATGCTTTCAATCCTTACAATAACCCTATAGAAAAGGTACTATTATTGTCTCCATTTTAAAGTTGGAGGAAGAAAGACATAGAAGAAATTGATGAATATTTAAATTTTTAAAAATTCATTACAGTAAAAGACACAATGTCATTTAATCACCTTCAAAATCCTCCCAACTAACCTCAAACAAACTCATCCCACTGTTCCTGTAACTTTCTGAAGCAGTGGGAGTCATCTTTTGTGTCTTTAGTTGTGGTGTCCTGGCTGCCTCAATGTCCTCAATCCATTCAAAGTGTTTACCTTTTATGGTCATTCTGACTTTGGGGAAGAGCCAGGAGCCACATGGGGCCCGATCCAATGAATAAGTGCATGAGGACACAGCATAAGGTTTTTATTTTACAGAAATTTCCATAAATATTTGATCAATGGGGAATGATTGAAAAGTAATCTTTACATTTTTAAAATGTAAAGACAGGAAAAGACACATTGCCTTTAATTCCCCTTAAAGTACAGTGATACCTTGGATGCAGACCAAGGTCAATTTGTTTCACATTCGTGTTTGAACACTACAAAATTTGAGAAATGAACATATTTTTCCCATAAGAAATAATGGAAAACCAAATAATTGGTTCTGATGCCCAAAAATTACACTTATAAATTTGTTTTTCTAGGACTTTAACAAATTTTGCAATGATTTCTTTCTTTAACTCTATCATGGTTCTCATAGTTTTCCTCTTAGCTTTACTTCTGGTATCACTAATGGTTTTTGGACCATGGTTACAATATTTTACACAAACAAAGTGCAAACAGAAAGGCACAGTGTTGACTGTATTAACGCACCAATACAAGCACTATCTGCTGTCTGGGCAAGAGTGGCGCTTAGACTGAAGATCTCCTCTTTGTGTCTGTGGTGAGATGCAACACAAGTCTCACTCTCAGCCCATACAGGTTTTTTTCTAGCTGGATTTTCAGTTTAACTATTAACTATTTCAGTTTAACAAAGTTAGGAACACAGAACATATTTTTTTTTAAACATTGCTGTGAGTGGTGGAAAGTTTGAGCTCGGAGTTGTTCAATAGTTGAGGTATTACTGTACTCCTCCCTTGCTTTAGACACACTTATCATTCTTGGCAATTTATCTTTTACTGTAATAGCTTCTTAAAAATATAAACATTTAGCTCAAAGGAGTGAAACATGTTGTTAAAAATCATGCTGGCAATGGTGATGGCAGAGTCCAGGCTAGAAACCAGGGGGCCTCATGTGCAAAGGGAGAGAAATCACAGTAGAACTCAGATGAAAGAGTTGGCACAACCCAGCCTACCTTTCTGGTGTTCATAACAGCTCGATCCAAAGTCAATAACTTTAACAGAAACTTGGCCCTTTTGGTGCAGTACTATATTTTCCTGGAGAGAAAAGACATACGTCAAGTCTACTAAAATTGATTTTGCCATAGGCTTCCTACTTTCCTCAGTGCTTACCAAGCTACGGGGCCTGGTTCCAACTGGAGCACTGCCACAGTTGTCTTCCCACAAGTTCTCCACACCCTGGTGTCCTCTGGCTTCCCATCGCCTCGTGGTCTGTATCTTACCAATACCCACCTCCACCCACTGGCCTTAGGGGAGACCCACACCCTAACAGAGGGAACCCCATCTTGTGAAGGAGCCTTGCCATTGGGTGAAAGGCACACTAGGAATTCCTCCTCAAATATAGTGACTTTTAGAGGGTTGATTGAAAACTACAGTGAATGTTCAGATTTTTACATTTTTTTAAGTTGTTATAGTAAAAGATACATTACCGAGAATGATAAGTGCATTTGAAGCAAGGGGAAGTATTTTAAAAGGTATTCATGGCAATGTGTCTTTCCCTGGAATACATTTTTAAAATTTAAACACATTTTTTATTATCCCTCACTGATCAAACGTTTATGGCAGTTTTAGTAAAATAAAAGCCTTACGTTATGTCCTCATCCCCTCAGTCACTGGATCTGGCCCCATGAGACTTCTACTCTTCCTCAAAATCAAAATGACCATGAAAGGTAAATGTTTTGAATGGATTCAGGACACTGAGGCAGCCAGGATTGTACCAGTGGTCCATACCAGCACTCTCTGCTTTGCAGTGCTTCTTTTACATATATTGTGTCTCTTTCTCATATTATTTGTGTAAGTCATACGGATCATGGGCTTTTTATTATCTTCTTTGATACCTAGTGCCAAATGCCATTGAATGAGTTTGTGTAAAGGTCCAGCTGACACATGGCTAGAACAGTATGAGAGCAGAGAACCAAACCAACAAAAAAAGGCAATGATTTGGTTGGAGGTTGTGATTCTCTCTGACTTTGGGGAAACCCGAAAACTGGGTGTTTCAGCGGTATCTCAGATGAGAAGGCAGAGCTTCTAGGCTCTTCTCACAGTATGATGTGCACTGGCTAAGGTCGGAGAATTAAAGTCCTAATTGTTCTTCTAGGACCTCAGACCATGCACACTGACTGCGTGATGCCTCACACTGAGTACCTAACGCAGCAGACCTAGGGGGAAGTCTCTGGACCACCAGCTGAGAATGTTGTAATGCACAACATTCACACCAGTGCAAATGTTGCCCACAGTGCCTTTGCTAGTGGATGTGTTAATACAAGAGGCTGCTCAGCAGGAATTTCTAGTGTGGCTTTCACCCAACACAAGGCTCCTTCCCAAAGCAGGAGTCCCCTCTGTTGGGGTCTGGATCTTACATGTCCCCTAAAGCCAATGGAAAGAAGGTAGATCGCTGGGGGAGTGCCCTGGAGGGGACACTGGGGCCTGGCCCCTCCTTCCTACTCTCCCGCCTCCAGGTTGCCATGAGTGAGCAGCATGTCTCCACCATATGCTCCCACCACAAGGCGCTGCCTGACCAACATCAACAGGACAGCAGACTACGGGCCGAAACCTCCGAAACCTTTCCTCCTGCCGAGCTGGTTACCTCTGAGATTTTGTGCCAGGGGTGGGAAGCTGACTACCACAACTTCCCATCCCCCGACTTACTGGCAGAAAAAGCTCTACAAAAGGGGTGGATGCAATGGCCAGCCTGAGCGCCTCCATACCATGAAGTCCACAAGAATAATTGCCTGGCTCTGGAATCCACACTCCTCACTGTATGTATCAAGGGGACACATATATTCAGTCTACTTGATCTGTGTCTCAAGGAAATCTGTTATCTGATATTGTGGGCATTAAGTGGCTTGTAATTTTCTTGGTGAGCAGCACTCCCCTAAGCCCACACACATGTGTGTGGTCATCCTTTGGAGCTGCAAAGCTGAGGATTAGGAGTTTAGGTGTGGAGAACACATCAAAACACGCCCACCATCCTTATGAGGATCCAAGCAGCCATGAGAGAAAATCTGTGTGTTTTGACCATTTAATGACAAAAAAATCCCAAACTTCACTCTATGAGTTATAGTTTTCAAAAACTGATTTTTAAAAAATAATTTGGCAGGGAGAGAGGTGGGTGTAAGGAAAAGTTAAGGACATGTACAGATCTGTGAATGTCACGCTGTTTTTGGAACCAGCTGCTTATACTGTGTCCCTAGCTACCTCTTTGCATTACTTCTCACACTTGCAATCAACTTACTTAACCAAGCATTTATTTATTGTCTTCTATTACCAAGTACCATGTTAGGACCTGGGGACCTAACAGGGAAAAGACATGGTTCCTGACCTGGGGAGAACTTGGAGTTCAGTGGGGAACACAGATGGAGAAGCAATTCCTACAGAAAAGTCAGTGCAACAATAGGAGTATGCAGGACAATGTTAGCAGGACAATGCAAGAAGGTCATACCCACAGGAATACCGGAAGTATTCTGGGGTGTGCTATGCCCCAGAAGCAACTAGTGTACAATGGCTTTAGTGAGGGCTTAATATAATCATCTGCCTCTGTGGTGGATGTCACTGCAGAACAGACAAGGGGGAACTCCAGGCCATGGAGAGGACTCTGAAGGGCTACCAGTCAAGACATGCTTCCAACAGCATATCTTGATCCTCAATCACCCACCATTACCCCTTCTACAGGTCAGCCCCAGGCCCCGCTTCCTGGCTGCTTCAGTTATGCCACATCTTCGTCTCTCTTAGACTCACTGTACTCACACAGCCTGTGAACAGGACTGCTTGGTTCTGGAGTTCAGTAGGGAACCATGCTGGCTGTCCTAGGCACCCCTATGGACTGGTGAGAACCTGCTTTCCAGGCAGGACAGAGGTTGTACTCACAGGCTTGAGATCACAGTGAATGATTTTCTCTACATAAAGCATTTGTAAGCACTTCAAAACACAGAGGGTGAAGCGGCGAACTAGTGACAGACTGAAGCCTTGAAAGCTGTTATTCTTCATCAACTCATACAAGTTGATTCTAGGAAAGACAGAAAAAGTGATGCATACTGGTATAAAAAGATACGCTCAGCTTGGCCCTGAAAGCAACCCCATGCCATCTGGTTTCTCTCTACTAGTAGGTAAATCTCAGACCTGGAGGCAGGCCTTTTATATCTTATAAACCTGGCCCTCTCGCTCACTCACTCACTCACAGTAGGCCCAGGATAAAGTCCAACCATGCTGGCGTCTCAGTGTTACATGGCCACTTAAATATTTGGAATACACATAGGTTAACAGAATGGACCAAACTTCTGTAATAGTCCTATTTCTTCAGGTCTCTGGGAGGGATCCAGGAAGCCTCCTAGTTGATCAAGCACACTCCTGGCCAGGCCTAAGAAGCATGTCTAGGGACTTCTGGCTCCTGGTAAGTAAGAACAAGAAAGTTGGCAGGTGATATCCAAGGCAAAGTAGGGATCCCTGCTCTGTCAAAGGGATGTGTGGTCACTTGGTCCCATCTATCAGTGGCCTTACAGGAATGAAGGTTGGCTCTTGGCAGATAATTCTTTTTCTTTTCTTTTTTTTTCTTTTTTTTTTTGTCTTTTTGAGACAGGGTCTCGCTGTGCAGTTCAGGCTGGCCTTCAACTCATTTTGTAGCCTAGGCTAATCTTGAACTTGGGCCGATCCTCCTGCCTCAGCCTCCCGAGTGCTAGGATTACAGGCATGTACCACCACACCCGGCAGTCTTTAATTCTTTACAGTGACAGAACCCTGTAATATTATGTAAAACAAAAGGATGTATCATATAAAATCTGCTGGCTTATAGATCTTGGATCTTAATGCCTCCATAGAAACTGTATGAGACAGAGAGGAGGGCAGCAGTCTCTGGCTGGTGACTCCTAACTTCCCTCTCTAGGATTACCTAATGCTGGCAGTGTGTTTATTTATTTATTTATTTATTTATTTATTTAATTTATTTATTTTGGTTCTTTAAGACAAGGTTTCACTATGCAGTTCAGGCTGGCCTTGAACTCACTATGTAGCCTGGGCTGGCCTCAAACTCACAGCAATCCTCCTGCCTCAGCAGTGCTGGGGAGCAGTGCTGGGATTACAGGTATGCACCACCCCCCCAACCTTCCCCGCTGCGGGCAGTGTTTAAAAAGCCATTTGTTCTCGAGGGCTGAGATGGAGATGTGAGACCTAGCTTTGGCTTTGTCCTGACCTGTGACCCTGGGCAACTCCCCAACTTTGCTGAGCTTAGGATTCTCCCTCCACACACCTGCCTCACCAAGGGCTTTTAAGTACAGTGATATCCTCACTGGGCACTGTGATTAACAGCCCAAAAAGGCAGTCTGGGATGTTTGTTTTACAGACTAGAAAATAATTCACCTGTGCACCCTGGAGAGCAGGCCACACTCTGTGATCACCAGTCATGGGTGGCCACTCTCCTGCTATCCCAATTCAGTTGGTTCCTAGAACTTCACCCTCACTGATGGTGCTATGGGAGGACCAAGATGTCAGCTCAGTGCTTCCAGACACCTTGCACCTCCAAGGGCTCACCCTGATCATTCTTCTCTGAGAAGATAAGTACATTCTGGGCTCTAGTTTATTTAAATTGCACTAGACAGTGCAGACAGTGTTCTCAGAGGGAAAAGTAGTCAAAGAAGCACACCCTTCCGTACTAGAAGCCTTTTCAGCTCCAATCCTCAGCCAGGCAACACCAACCCCCATTAAGTCAGGAGTTTTTCCTTTTATAAAAATATCTGCTTTTGTCCTTATTTACTCAAAATTAAAGCTCCTTTCCTATGCTGGGCAACCAGCTGCCTGTTCCTTTTGGGCTGTAGTCTTTGTACCGTAAGTCCAGGAAGCCAGTGTGTCAAAGCAGAATCCTATCATGGTTCAGTTTAGTTCCTGGTACTCAGCACCTGGCAGGTGACAGGCTTCCTGAGGGGTGGGGTGAGAGGGCAGCTTTTGGTCCCAGTCTTCAAGCTCCTGGAGCTTCTTGATAACTGAGTAGCTACTACACCCACTCTAGTCATTAAATATTATTTGGCCTCAAAGTTAGCATTTGGCCTTAGATTTTCTCTTCTGTCATTTGAGCAACTTTTCACATACAATGAATTAAAAAGAAAGAGCAGCTGACCCCAAGAGTTCGAAGGTGATACATAGGTGGTTGCGGAAGTAGAAAAAGTCCTTCATGTGCACCACATTGTAGTTGTTATCCTTGTCCTTCTTTCTGAGCGCTTCCAGGATCTTCAGCTCTACCAGGGCCTGGTGGTGAAATCTGCAGTGGTGGGGGAGTAGCAGAGAGGGTGGGAAATGGGGACACGTCCTTCTGTGGCAGTTAGCCTGTTCCCTCACTCCACCCCCACAGCCCCAATAAGAATGTCTAGGGTGGCAGAAGGCAGTAAAACTCCATGATCTTCCTTCCTCTTTGCCCCTTTATGCAATAAAACAGATAGAGAAAGAGGAAGAGGAAAAAAGAGGAAGAGTCAGAGAGGGTTGGCATTCTGGAGTAGCTAGAGCAAGGCACCCCTCTAGCACAGCCTGTGTCACCCTTTGAGCCAAACCTTTTTTTGTTCCTGATGATTTTCAGGGCCACCAACTCATTGTTTTTGTGATCCAAGCACTTGGCCACCTGTCCAAAGGACCCTTTCCCAATCATCTCCAGAACTTCATAGCGGTAGGCAATATGGTCATGCAGGACCTGCAGAGGCCAGGCTGGTGGTGAGAAGAATAGCCAAAGGCTCTTGGGTTTCTTTGACCCTGGGTCCCTGGACTCCCAACCTCAGTTCCTGGGTCACTCCTGGAGAGTTTTCTGAACTCCTACCCTCACCACATTGTCACTGCAATAGTTAGGTTGTTGCCTGGATCCCAGGGCACCAGGTGGCACCAGGAAATGGTCTTTCAGGCTCAATTCACGTCAAGCAATAGTAAGAACACTAGATAGTCCTCGGACATTTGGGTTCTAGTACTGGTCTGCTGGTCTGCTGGTCTGCTGCATGTTTTAGGACTTGTGAATAAGAAGGTTGGACAAAACCAAATGTCCCTGACATTCTGGAGTTCTGTGATTCTTTAAGTTGAACAGGTTTGGGGGACATTCCCACTCCGGTCCTCTCTCAGTCAGAGGCTTTATGCCTGCTCTGATTCTTCCTGGCCAGATCTGGTGTTTCCCTGGACTTATCTAGATTTAACCCTATTCTTTCATTAGTAGCACAGAATTGGTAAGAGTAATATTTTCTAAAAGCCATAATCTCCCATGTCCCTCCATATGCTGGAAATCAGGGAGCAAGTGTTTAAACAAAGCCATGGGAAATTTTCCATTATAGACCTTGGCCAGGTGGCTTCAGACAAGCCACTTACCCACCTTGAGCTGCAGTGCCTTTGTCTGCAAAGATGAGATGAGATTCTGGGTCAAATGACCTCTAATCTCCTCAGGCTCTGTGAGTCTCTGATTTCCATGTTGCACTCAGGACTTCGGGAGAGGTGAAGAATAGGTGTTTTTGTGAAGGTGAAGAAGATGTGTTGTTTGTGAGTGGGAGTGGGAGGGTGTTGGGGACTTTTATAGATGAGGAATCAAAACTGTTAATCTGAGCATGAACATTACCGATATATGGAAGTGGGTGGACAACTTGTAAATTAGGAGAATTGGACAGTCTACACACACCTTAGTGTAAAAGCACATGAGTGTTTTCCTAGCATTTGAATTTATCTTCTTCATTTGCTTACATGTCAACTTTTATGTTAATTGTGATCACTTGAGGGCAAAGGCCATGTTATACTCATTTACGACAGTTCCCTTCATACTTTCAGAGCCTGTCAGATGCCTAACCATTTGAGGGGGCTCAATAAGTAGGTATAAAATTAACATTGATGGACAAAATAAATAAAAGAATGTACCAAAAAAAGAATGTAGTTAAATTGCTTGTTTATGTGCATTATGTATTTGTGTGTGCATTGGAATGAAACAGGGATGAAGATTTGGAGATTACAGAGAACACACATGATCTCTCCCTTCCAACCAAAAATACAGTCCTCTTAGATTTGAGACTTTGGAACAAATCACCAGTGAACTCAGTTACAGGCAGTACTGATATCTTTAGGGAATTTTCCAGACTCTAGGCTCTGGTAGGGTAGAGCATGAGAAGGAGTGGGGAGGGAAGGGTTGGGAATGTCTGGCTGAATGAAGGAAAGGTTTATGTTGAACATTATTAACAAAGGGCCCATTTGTTTGTGTGTGTGCATGTTGCCTTTTCTGAAATGAAGACCCATAGCTGCCATTGGATTCTCAAATGGATCCTTGATCTAAAATTGGTGAGAATCTGGACTCCAGATGGAGGTTGTTTGACAAAAATTTCTTTCTTGTTTCTCAAAGTGAGGTCTAAAGTACAGGAGCTTTTCAGAAATGAAAACTCTCAGGTCCCAACCCAGTCATGCTGGATAAGAATCTGCATTTTATCAAGACCTCCACGCACTGGTGTGTATAGCAATTCTTGAGAAACTTAGCCTTACATCTCATTAAGAAAATCTACCTTTTCTATGAAGCCATCTCTCCTTCTCTCCTAGAACCAAGTTATGATGAAATGTCCACAACAGGAAACTCTAGAAATCTCACATCCTGGTAAACTAAGCAGCAGTCATCTAGATACCCCCAGAAGTGAGGGTTACTGCCTAGTTTTACCCTTCAGCCTAGGAAAATGCACTACCCCAGCAACCCCATAGGTCCAGTTAGGAGAGGAGAGAGAGGGGGTGTTGGCATCAAATTTTGGAAAGTGGAATGAAGTTCAGTGCTATGCACTAGGAACTATAGTGACAAAACCCCTATTTCTGTGGGAGAAACAGCAGTCTGAGGTATAAAAGAATCCACATGTGGAGCTGTACAGAGAGAATGAGAGGACAGTGCTGGGGAGCTTGCATCTTCCCGCAGCCTGGCCTTTCCTGGGGGGCCCAGGGCTGTGCAGAAGAGCCTGTGAGAGCTCGCCAGGATGCAAATCCCTAAATCCTTAAATGCCCTGAACAAAATCACTGTTCATTTAGCAGGGTATTGTGCATACTAAGTTGCATGTTCTTCTATCCTTCAAACACAGTATTTCTTCAGTTTAGCACCTACTAAAATCTTTCTGGATACCTAGTCCCCAATATATCAACACAAAATGCTAAAATATCCCCTGCCTTTTTCCTTCCCATTCTGTGTCTTGCCCAAGTCCCTGAAGTCACCATGACCCAGTCTCTCATCACCTTCATGTAGGAGCCATGTTCATCATCAAAACTTGTCTTGCTAAATTTTTCAGGGTCCACGTTCAGCTTCTTAGCTTCAAGCCCCAGAAACCACAGCTCTGTGTAGCCCAGGATTTCACTTTGCTCATAAAGAGACAGCTGATTCTTATAACACTTTAGGGCCTCTGTGGGGAAAATACAATTGTCAGTTAAAGCAACATGCAGATTTGCCCCAGGTGCTGATGATGTGACATCCTTTCCAGTCCATGAAACTTTTCCTTACCCAGGGGGCTCACTGAGGGACCACACATCAGGAACCTCAGCAGGTAGAAATGTAACAAGGGTAAATCTCAAGGTCTTGCACTTATTTCAACAAGTCAAAAGGAAAACACAAACACAGGGAAAGGAGAATTTAGTGCCCAAAAAGTGGGCAATGAGTTTGGTAAGAAAATCTAGGAATAATCCACAATAGTCTTTTGTTAAGGTTGCATTTTTTCAGTTCATGTGGAATTGGGGTACACAAAGGGTCTACCTGGAGAGGTTTGAAGCTGTAATGTCCAGGGCCAGGCAGGTGACATGTGTACAATTTTCAAGGCCCAGCTGGTATTCACACTCAGATGTGAGCCAGAGAGCACCCCAGACTATAGAGGGAATGTATGCCAGCAGTTGCATGCTACATGAGATAGCTCAGGCTCTGGTGTCATGACAGGGGTTGGGAGTGGGGACTGAAATTCAGACTTCTGTAGCTAATCTGGAGAATCTCAGAGGAGAGAAACCAGGAGTGGGGAAGGCACTTTGTCTTATGTGACAACTGCCGAAAGCAGAGGAAGAACAAGGAGGAGGAAGAAAAAGATGTGGGGCTCAAGGTCTCTCTTTTCCTCTACGTGGGCCAGTCATGTAGAAGCTAAATAAGTCACGTTCGTTTTCCAGGGGATAAAACCAAGGCCAAGAACAAGGAGGCAGATATTACTTCTACAAAGGCAGAACTAGCTCAGAATTGAAATTATCTCCTCATGGACCAAACTGGAGATCATTTAAGAAGGACAAGCAATTTCAAATAAAGCACTGCGGCAGAAGAGCTGTGAGCCCCAGACAAGGTTGGGACATGAGGGGTGTTCCGGTGACTTTGATTTTCTGCCTTTGGGTCTGGCTCATGGCTGGAAACACCCATGTCCTATGTGTGATGTTTCAGGCCCCACCATGATGATTACAAAGCCCTTCCTGGCAGGTCTCACAGAGGAGGGGGCAGTTGACCTCCCCTCACTGAACTTGGCCGCAGGCAGTGCACTGCAGTCTCTGAACGGGGTCCTCTGTGCATACCCAGACATCCAGCCCAGGAGTCCCCATTCAGAGCCCTCTCTTGGGGTCGTGGCTGAGGTCTTTCTCAGACACCTCTGTCAAGGTCCCCCAGCAGAGAGGAAGGGATAATTCCCAAACATTGCACTCTCTGTATTTGGTAGTTTTCTACTCATACCTCCTTTTTCCTCTCACTTTTCCCTATCCCTGAGACAATTCAAAATGACAGGAACATTTTGCCTGGGTCCCACAGGTGGTGAGACAGTGCTTTCTGTTTGCACTAACACATCCAACCCTCACCCTGTGGGGTTCTGTGGAGAAAGTGGACCGGTGAGAAGCTGGGGTTCACTCCTACTCACTCTACTTTATACAGCCACAGTAGGAAGATAATGGGTTGACCTCCTTCATTTGAGCTTGTCATCCTATGTCACTCTGCAATAACTTGACAGCCCAGCTCAGCTCAGCTCTTGATGCCCTGACATCACCCCCACCGCCAGTGCCCCAAAGTCATACCTGCTGCTGTCAAAGGTTTCCTTGGAGCCTTGTGTTTCCTTGGAGACTTCTCCTCAGGGTTAGAACCTTGGATTTTAATGCTAGAGTGGAAAGGTATTTCTGAAGTCTTGTTCTCCATGGCCAGCACCTGATTATTAGTTTGATTTTCCTGTACAGGGAAAAAGGTTTGCAGTAAAGGACTATTTAGGCTTCTACCAGTGTCATAAACCACTTCTCTGACCCAGAACACCCACAGCTAGCCAGGATCTTTTCCTACTTCTCCAGGGAGAAAACAGTGGTTAAGAGACAACAGGTTTTCTCAATCTTTCTGTCAAAAAATGAATTATCTGTCTGACTCTCATGATATGCCCTGGGAGATCCATATGCATTAGCAGATACAGGTGGCAACTACAGCGGTATGTCACTGTAGGAAGATGGAACAGTCTTTACGATTGCTTCTGAGGAGATCAATTGCCAACTAGATGAATTAACTTGCCCAAGGACACAAAAACTTGAATGTATGTGTGTATAATATCTGTTTAACTTGTTCCACCCCAATATTATCTCATTTAATCCTTGTACAGCAAAGGTAGAGAACATGGAAAGAAACAATATTTTTATGATTCTACATTTATACACCAGAACTCCATTTTCTCCTTTCCTCAATGAATCTTCATCACAACTTCAAAAAGAACGCATTTTGTAGATAAAAGAAAGCCAATGGCATATTTGTTCATGTTGACATTCATTGTAAAGAGTGAGCCAGGACTTGAACCCAGCTCTCCAGCAGACACTGTGCTTTCCCTTGCCTTCTGCGGCCCTTCTAGACTTGGTTCTGGCCTGTACCCAGGGTCATGTCTGCTGCCTCATCCTCACCTGATACCGAAGGGGTGGTTTCAACAGGTTTTTGTTGCTGATGCATGGGAAGTTAACTGAGTTCTTCTTCCCACTGGGGTCCACAAAAGGGTGTGACGTAATGTTAGTGCTTGTCGTCTAGAAGCAGAAAAAGGATACTTTACAAAACCCTCTGGCGAGAAAAATGTCTCCAGGAGTCATTTTGTCTAGCCTCCTCCCCATAAGGATGAGCCTAACCCAAGAACCTGGAGAGAAATGCAGATGTGAGGGAGCAGCACAATCTAGCGAATAAACTCTGGTTTAAGTTTGCAGTTCACAACTTTATTAACTATTGACTTTAAGCAGGTCACATTGACACTCTAAGTCCCAATATTTCATTGGTATTATGGGGACAAAAGTGGAACCTACCTCACAGGGGTTTTGTGAGGCAATACATGTAGATTATGCCATAAATGGTAGCAACTATTGGTTTTATTCCAATATCTTGCCAACTAGACATAGGGAAGTTCTTCCTCCTATACAGTGAAAATCTTCCATGATGCAATCTTTATTTCTTCTATGGCTACTTAACGGACTTGGCCTTCTGTATTTGGATCCCTGCCTGCTATATTGATCGGTTGATTGATTGGAAGAGATTCTGACTAGTAATACATAGCAATACTTAAAATTATATAGAGTCAAAATGGCCATACTTCTAAAACTGTTACACATATTTAATGCAACTCCAATCAAAATACCAATAGCATTCTTTATAGAACTAGAGAAAGCAATCCTAAAATTCATATGGAACCAGAAGAGATCTAGAATAGCAAAAGTAATTTTAAGTAACAAGGTCAAGATAGAGGACATCTGTTATGGTTTGTGTCTGGGTGTCCCCCCAAAGACACATGCAGTCATAGAGCAGGCTTTTAGAGTTTGTGATTGATTCATGGTTCAATGGTGGAATTATAGATGTGAGTGCTACACCCGTCCTCGGGTGGATAGTTTGCATATGTCAGGGAGAGAAAGAGGCTGCCTGCCTCCCTTTTGCTCTTGCTGCTTTTGCTGCTTTCCATCACCATGAACTGTTGCCCTCTGCCTTGTGCCACTCTGCCTTGGAGCCAGCCAAGTACGGACTGAAACCTCCACAAACTGTGAGCTAAGTAAACCTTTCCTTCCTTAATTTTGGGCATCGTGTATTTTGTCTCAGCAATGAGAGAAAAGTAACCAAGACAACATCACAATCCTGAACTTCAAGATATACTACAAAGCTACAGTGACCAAAAATGGCATAGTATTGGCAAGAAACAGACTTATGGATAAATGGGACCAAATAAGAGGTATAGAAACAACTCCAGGTACCCTCAGCTGTGTTATCTTTGACAAGAAGGCCAAATATTTTCGCTGCAGGAAAGCTAGCCTCTTTAATAAATAGTTCTGGGAAAACTGGCTATCCACATGCCAAAGAATCTAGATCCATGTCTCTCATCAAGCACTAAACTAAAATCAAAATGGATCAAAGATCTAAACATCAGAACAGAAACACTTAATCTGTTGGAAGACAAAATAGGTAAAACCCTTGAAGACAGGTATAGGAAAAGATTTTCTGAAAAGAACCCCAGTTCCATAGGAAATAATAACAAGAATCAACAAATGGGATCACACCAAATTAGAAGGGTTCTCTGCACAGCAAATGAAACCACCAACAGAGTGAAGAGAGAACCTACAGCATGAGAACAATTTTTGCCAGCTACTCCTCAGACAAAAGACTAACATAAAGAATATATAAAGAATACAAAAAAATAGACTCCCAAAGTTATTTTTCTTCTTTCTTTTAAAGAGAATACAAAATAAAACATTAGAAATGATACAGAATTTCAAAAAAACAAGATGACAGGAATTCAACAATGGTTGTTATAGTACATATTGTTGTTTTCAAAGGAGTTGCTCAGATTACCAGATATAAGCATGTAAAATTGGTCAGAAAATTAAGCATTAACTGTTCCTTTCAATAAACAATAGAAATTAGTAGTAGAATTATCTATCTTGTGTATATATATATATATTTTTTTTCCCTTCCTTCTTTCTTTTTTCCTTTCCCTCATCCCAGTTGTTCTTTTGTTTTGAGCAGCTTTTTTCCCTTACACAATATCTATTGTATCTTTTGGATTGTATTTACTCTTTCAGGTTCTCAAAAAAGGGAGACAATATGATGTTTACACATACAATAGATCCCCAAATTCAAAGACCCAGTCAAAGCTGGGCACTTGAAAGGAAGACTCTTCTCAGTTGAAGAAGTACAAAAGGCAAATGAGTACATGAAAAAATGTTCAGCATCACTGGTCATTAGAGAAATGCAGTTAAAGCAACACTGCAACTCCATCTCACTCCAAAAAGATGGCTATCACCAAGAAATTAATCAATAATAAGTGCTGGTGAGTTGCAAGGGAAAAGGAAGTCTTCATTGTTGGTGGGACTGGTGCAACTGCTATGGAAATCAGTGTGCAGAGTCCTCAAAAAACTAAAAATAGAAATTCCATTTGACCTAGATTCTAGGTATCTTCCCCAAAGAGCTAAAGAGATCATATCACAGTGATGTATACATATGTGTGCTTATAGCCGCACAATTAATATTAGCTTAACCTTGGAAGCAGCTTATATGTCCATCAACAGTTGAGTAGATAAAGAAAATGTGGTATTTACACACGATGGAGTCCAACTCTGTGATAGTCCATACATTTGAGTCATTTGTAGGAAAATGATTGCACCTTGAGACCACAATGTTAAGTGAAGGAAGTCAAACACAAGCTCAAATATGGTTTCTCTTATATGAGAAACTTGATAAATGAATAAAGTGTAAAATAAAAGACAGATGAGGAAAAATGTCATTGTAATCCAGCATGGACAATGTCTCTAAAAGTACACTTTGATTTAGTATAATTGTTTCAGGTGTTTTATATGATTTTGGCCTGCTGGTCTGACTATTAATCTGTATGTATGATAGTCAACTTTGTAAGGACTTGTAAGATAAACAAATAAACCTAATCCTGGCAAAAAGGAGAGGGGAAAAAGAATTGAGATGTGCTATGTGCATGTACCAATTCCCCACAATGGATGTAATCATTGTTTACTACAAACATGTATTAATAAAAATTAAAATAAATAATAACTAAATCTTGGCAGCAGCCTATATGTCTATCAACAGATGAAAGGACATGGAAAATGAGGTGTTTATACACAGTAGAGTATTACTCTGCCATAAAGAAATATAAATTTGAGTCATTTGTAGGAAAATGGATGCACCTTGAGACCATAACATTAAGTGAAATAAATCAGACATACAAGCTTAAATATATTGTGATTTTTCTTATATGAGAAACTCAATATATAAAGGAAGTGTAAAATAAAAGACAGATGATAGGGAAAATTGTATGGAGAGGGACCATGAGATGTGAATAGAATGCTTTCATTGCTATGCTGAGTTGACTGAAAATGCTTACTGAAAGATATCCCCCATCCATCCACTTTCCTTCATCTTTTCTTAGAGAAAAGGCACTAATCATTGCTTCTTACCTTATATAAAAATCGGGTCATTCTAGGGTTCTTGATCTTGGAAGGCAGCTTTTGGACTTGGACCAAAGGTTGACTCTCAACCTAGATCAAGTGGAAGAAATTTGTAATAGTGCTTGGTATGGCTTCATCTCAAGCTGCTGGGATGTTATTTTGTCTCATTACCACAAGCAAGATACACTTGAAGTAGTTGTCCTGGACCCAAAGCCAGGAAGAGTTAACAGAAGCTCAAAGAAGCACTTATTGAATGCATCAATGAATTACTACCCAAGCAAATGAACTTTCCACCAATTTTAAACATGGGCTGCTGACTCATCCTATAGTTTTCACCCTCAGAAAATCATATAACCCTCTCTTCAAGCAGATTCTTAGCTTGAATCCTTGGACATGGGAAGGAATAAAATACTAAGTCGTTTTTGCTTTTTAGAAAAGAAAACGTTCATAGCTTTGCACAGAAGTCTTTTCTGTCCAAAGGAGTTCAAACAAGACTTAGTGGAACCTGCCAGAATATAAGCATCCACATTTAACACAAGTGATTGATCAGAAGAGACTCCCACAAAGGGTGGAAAGGAAAAAATTAAAATCCAACAGTGGTGTGTCCCAAAGGCTGGCAAGCACAGTGTGGAGATATGTGACATAATGGTGTGCCATATACAGATAAAGTTATCTGATGACTATGCATTTCTTTTACGAGTCTTTGAAAAACTAACTGGCACATTAAACATAGATACTGTGGCTATTATTAAGGATAAGAGCTGGGCTTGATGGCGCACGCCTGTAATCCCAGCACTCAGGAGGCTGAGGCAGGAGGATCATTGTGAGTTTGAGGTCAGCCGAGGTTACAAAGTGAGCTCAAGGCCAGCTGGAACTGCATAGCGAGACCCTGTCTCAAAAAGATGAACAAAAAGAAAAGGGTAAGAATAGAAGTTCAGTAACAAAAATAAAATGGAGAGTGAGTGCTATGAGATGTGCAAAAATTGTGACAAAAGTTTAGCAAAAGGGCCACAGCTTAAACATTGTTTGTTTTTTGAGGAACTCAGGGTTTTCTTCTCCAGACCACCCCTAGGGAAATGAAGGATATTTATCCAAAGCTGAGATGCAGCAGAGTGAGGCCCACCTCTGTAAAATCTGGCAATGGGGTACAACATGTCCACTCACCCTCCAGCATAGCTAAGTTCTCCACAGAGCTGTACTCATGGGGACTATTTGTAATAGCCAGTCTTCACCACCCAGAATCAGTCTGGAAGAGTGCATATTGCACAGTGCAGGGCCATATCTGATTATTCATTGGCCAATGTACAGCATATGCAGAATTTGGTTGTCTATAAAGGGAAAATGATGATATATATGGAAATACTGCAATTATAGATCTCACTAAGTCTCAACTTCTCATTCAGTCGGTTTGTCAGGATTAATACTCAGAATGTCATCAATAACAAGCTGACCTTGAGCATGCAGTGAAGAGGTGAAAGATAAATGAAAAATACATTTAAAAATACAACTCAGACTAAGTATCATACAAAGGGCATGGACAGTAAATGTCAACAGAAAAGGAATATAGCACTGTATGTGCAACATGCCCAGGAGAGGGGGCTGGTTTGGAATGGATGGGGTTGGTGCTCAGTCTGGGATCTGACTGAGAGGAGGGGACAGGAACATGCTCAGCAGGTGAAATGAAAGGATCCGATGACACTCCAGGGGTCTTCACTGCTCAGGCTGAGCAGGCAGACACACAGGGCCAATGGTGGACTATGGAAAGCACCAGCAGCAAGGCTAAGAAATTTGGCCTTTATCCTATGGGCAATAATGAAGCACCAACAGCTTGTATATTATGCGCAAAGCAGTATTTCAGAAAGACTTCACTTTGCCATGTGTGGTGGCACACACTTGTAATCCCAGCACTTGGGAGGCTGAAGCAGAGGATCACCATGAGTTCAAGGCCAGCCTAGGCTACATAGTAAGTTCAAGTCCAGCCTAAACTGCATGGCAAGACTCTGTCTCAAAAACAAAACAAACAAACAAACAAAAAAAAAAACCCAAATAAACAAAAAGACTTCTTTTAGCAGTGTTATGGCTTATATCTAGATTTCCTCCACAAAGCCTTATGTCTCATAAGTGGGCTTTTGGGAGGTGGTTGGTTCATGGGTATGTGATACTGAATTAAGGGCATGTGATAACTGGATTAGTTCACTGATTGGCTTAGTATAGTCCTGGGTATGGATGGCACCAACCAATAGGTTTGTAGCCTAGATGAAATACAAAGGGAAGAGGCTGGCTGGCTGCCTGCTGCATCATAGACTGCTCCTCCTCTGCTCTGCCACCCTGCTCAGAGCCAGGTGACTATGGACTGAAATTGCTACAAACTTTGACCTAAAATAAACTTCTCCTTCTTTAACTTGTGTGTATGGAGTATTTTGTATAAGCAATGAGATTAGTAACTTGTCTTAGTTCCTTAGCAGTAATGGGACATAACATAATACTCATGGGTGTGGAGCTGATAAACACACTTTCATTTTGAATCCAGTAGCTCCTAATCATTATTTGGATTTGAGCAAGTTATTAACCTTTCCACATGTGATATAGAAAGAATGTCAGTAACAGCCTCATAAAGTTGTGAGGATCAAAGGAGTTAATCTGTGCAAAACATTGAAACTAGTGCCTTGCCTATCCTGGTATTGTTTGCTAAAGTTCATTTTCCTCATTTGCAAGATGCAAAAAGTGATCTTTGCTCTTTTCCTATGAAACAGGAAAACCAAGGGCTCAGAACTGATGGAGAATGAACAAGGTGGTATGGAGCCCACAATGGTTAAAAAAAGATTTATCTGAGAAAAGAATTTTTAAAAAAACAGAATTTCAGCAGATGTGTGCATACCCATAGGTTACTATACACATACACAAGTATATATATTTGCTATCAGCTGAGAGGACCTAAAAGCAATAACAGCCCAACAGAAGAAAGCATACCTAGCATGCAGATCTTGGTTTCTAACACTACTCTCTCAAGGGAAACCTAGGATCTTCAGAAAGATGACTGAATCTGGAACTGGGAAAGGAAATACATAGCATATTGTAGTCACAGAAAGAAAAGACGTGTTAAAAAAAATAGGAAAAAAATCTACACTGATGGGATCATGTCAAAGGAGAAAGGGGAACTCACAATGGTCAAAGTTTGAATAATTTGCATTGGACTATAACACAAAGCAAAAAAAAATCCATGAGTACATATTGTCAAGCTGTATGATATAATAAAGTAATAAATGGGAGAAAAGACAGACTTCCCACATAGCAGAATGAGTTGCACAAATAGTGCATCCTGGAGAAAGGGGAGCATGAATCCCCACTCCTTAAGTGTGGACAATGCTCAGAGAATAGTTCCAAAAGGTACAGTAGGGAACAGGAGAAAAATAATAACCTTACAGTGGGGAAACTGGAATTTAGCCAGGTGAGCAAGGTCAACATCAGCAGTCATAAATCATATTGATAGCTTGTACCTTTGGTATGATTTGATGAAAATGGCACTTTATGTCAAAGGGAGATTTCTTCCCAAAACTCATAACCCTAATCTCATCATGAAAAAAAAGTGAATTCCATCCTATAATACACCTGGTAAGTACTCAAAACTGTGTAGGTCATCAAAACCAAGGACAGGCTGAGGATCTTTCCCAACAAGAGAATACTAAAGAGATGTGACAGCTAAATTCATTTATGGCAGGGGCACCCACCCCCTACAGTCCACGGCCTGTAGCAGCCAGGCTTCACAGCAAGAGGTGAGTGGCAGGTGAGTGAGCAAAGTTTACAGCTGCTCCACATTGCTCACATTACCACAGGACCTCTGCTCCTGTCAGCTCAGCAGTGACATTAGAATCTCATAGGAGTGTGAATCCTACTGTGAACTGTGTATGTTAGAGGTTTAAATTGTGCACTCCTTATAAGAATCTAATGCCTGAAGATCTGAGGTGCAGCTAAGACACTGAGGAGTGGAGGCAAATACAGAGTAACAGCAGAGAGGTTTGACTGCACAGAGACCGTAATAAACCAATTGCTTGCAGACTCGTATCAAAACCATATCAGTGAGTGGCAAGTGACAATTAAGCTGCATCTGGCAGCAGGCTGTAAGTCAGAATCCCTCACTTATTTTAGTCTGTGCATAGCCCAGTCATTATTTTACCTCTTCTATCCAGGCCTCTTTACTGCACTAGATTTTGTCTTAGTCACAGTTTTGGTAGTCCACAAGCTAATCCTAACTAGAGTGAGTAAAAAACAAACATGACTGCAGAGCATCTTTGAAAAGAGGGAAGACCCAGTGATGAGACAGAAGACTCTAAGACTGCCAACAAAAACAAAGCTGCATTTAAAAGAAAATAGAAAAAATCGTACATAAATTAAGGGTTCACTGCAACAGGTGAGTCACACGCTTCAAGCCCACTTTGTATAATATGTGGGGACAGTTATGCAATGAAGCCATGGAAACTTTAAAACTGCATCACTACATGGAGACCAAGTACCCTGCATTAAAATACAAACCTTTGGAGTTTTTCAAAACAAAGAGCAGAAGAAATTTCTGAAAGCCACCACTCCATCAAATATGTCTGCACTAAGAGTATCATTCTTAAATTGCACATTGCTAAAGCTAAGAAGCTTTTTATTATTGGTGAAGAGTGAATCCTGTCTGCTGCTATTCAAAATGTGGCATGTGTTCCTCCTTCAGCCAGAACCATAATTAGATGAGCTGGTGAAATAATAAAGGATATTGAGACACAATTATTAAAAATGACCAATGAATCACCATGGTATACAATCCAGGTTGATGAATCTAACCATGTTTTTGTGCAGTATGTATTTCAGGAAGATGTGCACAAGGATTTGTTATATGCTTTTATTGCAAACCAATACTACAGCTGCAGAACTACTCAAGTCTTTGTATAATTATGTATTAGGAAAATTGAGCTGCCAATTTTGAGGTGATATATGCATTGAAGGAGCTGCTACCATAACTGGACAACTTTCTGGTTTCACTACTCAGGTCAAAGAGGTCACTTCTGAGAGTGAGTTTATGCACTGTCACCCACATGGAAATTCTGGCT